GCCCCTCGCACACGGACGCTTTCGCGCCGGGCCCCCTCCGTGGGACAAATCCAGCCGTTGGCATCGGTGCCCCGAACGCGGCGGAGCCGGAGAAACTTTGAGTCTTCTTTGAGCCCTTTAGGTCAACCCGCGAGGTATTTTCTCGCCCCTGACGCCTCGCTCCTGGTGCCGGCGTCCCAGGGGGAAATGTCAGTTTTCCTTTTTAAAAAAGTCAAGTTTTCAGCCATCAACATATCCATACGGGAAGGACCAGCTGGGAACTCAGCTCAACCCTTCCCGCAAAGGCTTTAACACCCCATAGCAAATAAGGACAACTTCATGACCGACAATTTTGGAGAAGACCTACAATTTTGCCCCCACATGGCAGGCCCAAAGGGGGTAAGCAGAGACCTCCCTGGTATTTTCTGTGCACCCGTGAACGCACCACCCAACGCTCGGGCATCCCGTGCCCGGGAGCATCCCCTTGCCCGAAACTGCCCAGCCAGCGCGGGCATCGGGGCAGCCTGCAGCACCTTCGCGTTTGTCCTTCCCCGCTCGCCAGGAAGGACTGCACGGAGCGATTGTAAGCTCAGGTGAGGATCCTCCTGCCGGTCGCCCTGGGGCACGGCTGCAAATGCTCCAGCGGCTCGTGCCACACATTTCTACAAACACCCGGGCCCAGGGCGTTAGTGCTGCCCGGTCCCTGCAACCGCATTTACCGGCTGCACATCTGGGACCTGCAACGTGGGGTTTTCTTTAGGATAAGCTTTCTTTATGGCACCTCTCGGAGGCACTGTGTCAGACGGCACACGCATATTTATCCGGAGCTCGCCTTCCACCAACGCCGGAATAAAGCAGGGAAAACTCCATTTTTTTCCAGCTCAGCCGCCCCGTCCCGCTCGCCGCCCTCTGCCCGGCGCTCTCACGGCGGGTTATGATTTATTCGTATGCCAGGAACGTCCCCAAAGAGCAAGGAAGATGCGAGTCCCGGTGTGCCGGAGACCGGACACGTGGGGACAACGCCGCAAAGGCCACCAGGCCACCGGCGCAGCAGCTCTGGAGGGGCCGGACATCATCAGGGCACCAGCGAGGCCGAATATCATCCAAGGGGATTTGGAGGGACTCTGCAGAGCTCGGGATCGGTTTGACCACGACCAGAAGCTGACACGTCCCAGGGTCCAAAGGCAACCTGTGTGAGACGAGGCCGAAGGGCCAGGTCGCGCCACGCTCTGCCTCCCAGAGCTGCCCAAAGCAGCAAAGGCCATGAGAATAGGACGTGCATGCAACGACTTTCCCCAAAACGAGCCTGTTTCCAACGATCTTTATCTCGGAGACGTCTTGTGCCAGATGCAATCTTTGTATTTAACGGGCTTTCGGTGCATTTCTTCTCATTTATGTGCTAACACTGACCAGAGGTGAGCAGCGGCTTCAAAAGCAATGGAGCAAAGTTGAAGGAAAAGCCGTGGGAAGTGGCAGCTCCTCCTCAGTGGAAAGCGTGAGGCTGTTGCAAGCCCAGGAAGAAGATAGGAACGGAGAAGAGAGAAGCAAAAACCAGATGTGCCGCCCGGGCTGTGCATCTGGGATAGATGCATCCGACTGCTTTCCTGGCAGGATGGAAAGAGCTGCCCCAGCTCCACCTGCCGCTGCCTCAAGTATTCCTATGGAGGAAAATAATCCTTGGGATTTCGGTAACCCCGTGGCAGGAAAACGCTCAAGCAACACGACCGTGCTACCGCTGTGCTGCCAGGCGTTACGCTGCAGGACACAAAGTGAAGCTCAGGCTGGCCTGGCTGAGGGGGGGAAACACCGCGGACCTCGCTGGGAGCCAAGCGGAGCCAGGCTGCAGGAGAGCCGCTGCTTCCACGGCGGGAGACTTCTGAGAGCGGCTCCTTACTTGGCTGCGGCCGGAGAAGGCTACCTACCATCCTGCTTATTTTCGGCTGCCTTCAAAAAAAATGTTGGATGAGGTCCACGGAGCACATTGCAAGCTCTTTGCAGACATTCGTCAGCCCGTTCCCTGCACCCTGGATGCAGATAAATAAATATCCGGATATTTGCCATGGGAGAGGCTCGTTCATAAGCAGCTCAAATGATTTCCAGCCGTAGAAGGGGACAAGGGAGCCAAGAGCGGAGCCGCGGCATCGGCCTTCCCGCACCTACGGGCCGGCTCAGACCCTCC